CATCCCTCATCCAAGAAGTCACTTGTATATGTCAACTGAGAAAATGTTACGTCCAGATTCAACTTTTGGGAATCTCTCCCAGACTCCCAAATTCCTGATGGAAGACAGAGACTGGAGATATCTACGTGCCCATATTAGGTCGTGTTTATAGTTCCACCTACTGTCAAAAAGGTTCTAATCATGATCCAATCTATGCAACATTTTAATTGATGGTTCCACTCGATTTGTATCAGTATGTCATATAGTTAGTGGGTATTCTATATTGCCACCTAGTGGGCACAGAAGGTAAATGGTCAGTTGTAAACAGACCGTCTCTTATGTTAGCGCTTTTCTGCTCCAAGCACTCAAAGAGCAGTCAGTGAGGAAGTGATGTGACACTGAATCAGCCATGTGACTGTGTGACTCACCCTGCAGCACGCTGGCTGTTCCCAGGGTGCGAGGGCCTTTCATTGCTGCTTTAAATGTCATAATTTTGTTGGCGTCTGTCAAAACATGGATAGAAGGAGTTCTGTCGACTTCTTACTGGCCATGTCATATATTTCTATTGAGGAGAAGTTAACTTTGAAATAAGTATTTCTCATTTTATCAGACCTGTTTAAAACAATCACCTGTGCGATCAGTTGGGTATTTGCTGAAGGTGAGAGGACCACATGTCACCAGGCAACAGGGAGATACAGGTCAGAGGTTAGAGATTTCACAGAGCCAGGGACAACGGGAGGGAGGGGGGATTTCCTGTTTCACTCACTCATAGACAAAGCAAAGCTCTACATTCATCCGTGTAAAAACAAAGTCTTCATTAAGCAAAACACTGAAACACTGACTGTGACAACTGGAGCAAATAAACCCAACCAATAGTGTCCATTCTTCAGTCTTCTTGGTTTTAAACGAGACGCTCATTTTATCTTCAGTGAAGATACTGACCGGTACAGTTGGAGAGTTTTCACAAGTGAAGTGAAAATGAACATTTGAGCTCTCTCTCAAACTCACTTTGACATACATATATGTGTAAATATTAAAAAAATGTCCCCTTCTCGCCCCTGCGGGCGGTTTATCAAGCTCGGGTCTTCTACCAGAGGCCTGCGCAGTATCTTAGCTGTTCCCAGGACTGCGCTCTTCTGGACAGAGATCTCCGATGTTGTTCCCGGGATCTGCTGGAGCCACTCGCCTAGCTTGGGAGTCACCGCACCGAGTGCTCCGATTACCACGGGGACCACCGTCACATCTTCTCTGAGCCCTTGGTATTACTCCAGCTTCTCATGTTCCTTCTTCCTGATGTTGTTGTCATTCACTATCGCTACATCAATCACTACGGCCGTTTTCTTCTGCTTGTCCAACACTACAATGTCCGGTTGGTTAGCCATCTGTATCTGGAAGCCCCACAGGACCTTAGGTCGGCCATTCTCCACCAGCCTAGGGGGCGTCTCCCATTTTCACCTCGGGACTTCCAGATTAAGGTTCGCCCATGCAGAAGTAGGTTGGAAGGCAATAACAGAGAAACCCAGGATTGGGTTTAGTCAGTGAACTGAGGTGCGGGATAATCCATAATCTGGAGACTCTGCTCAGTGAAACTATGATTCTCCTGCTGCCTGGTTCTTCATGTGTCCATAACCCACCCCAGACAACCCACTCAGTCAACAATAGTTCAGTTTTCTCTAACTACAGTCTGTTAGCAGCTATGACATTCTCATTTTCACATGTCATAGTACCAATTAAGTGCTGACAACTCAATGCCCAATAATAACAGTCAGTATCTTCATGCATCCTGACTAAATGTTAAAACAAAGAGGCAACCAGGACTAACTGATGAGTTTAATTTCTCTAATTGTTACAGTCCGTTTCAGTGTTTTGCTCACAAAAACCCCCAAAACACACAAGTAACTGGCCATATTCACACAGACTTTGTTTTTACATGCATGCTCACTCCAAAATATAAATAATCTGTTACTAATCCAGTCTTGCTTTTAAACCGTGTGGTATCAGAGGCCACGCTCAGTTTTCAATAACAGGACTCAGCTTCTCAGTGTGCTAAAGTTTCCATCCAGCCACACAGAAACGTGTTTTTCATGCATTCCTCAAATTCCACATCTGATACGTGTACGTGCTACTCTGAGATGTAATGACAGTGAAGGAAAAAATTATCTTTAGCCTCAATCATGGCATTCACTACGTTTCCTGAGCTTTAGGTAATCCCTCTAAACTTTAAGCAGAAATCAAGCGTGGAGGTCAGTGTAAAATAGAAAGGTCACTGAATGTCTGTAGGTCTGTACCAATGAGGTTCATCCCACATTTCAACTTCCTCCATTCTCTGTAGATTCTATTTGTATTATAGCTAAATCCAAGTCTAGTATTACTCAAATTTTCTTTGGTCTTTCTGGGAATCTGTGGCCAAAACTTGCAATTAATTCTTCAGACGAGTCAAACCTCAAATCATTTTTAGTAAAAAGAAAAGGCTTGAAAAACAAAAACAGACCTGTGGAAGCGAGCATTGTCAGCTTCACACACACAAAAACTGTGAAGCTGGATTTTACAGTGCTTAAAGTTAAAATGTATTAAATCTGTTCAGCGCCATCTTCTTCCAGTACACAGTGTTACATCACTGGGTTGGTTGGTTTCGGTCATTACCAGTTAGGTAACATAAACTAATGTAACCGACCCAATAGCTCAGCGGAAGGAAAATTAAAGATTCATTTAAGGGGCTTACTTTGCTGCAACATTTTCATATTAAGACCAAGGACATACTGTCCACTTTCACTCTCTCTTAACCAGTAAGTGTTGTTGTTGTGTGGCTAGTTGCACTGACACGGGAAAATCCCCCTGCTGTAACATTCAGGTTTGTAAAGCACTTTAGAAATGAGAAAAGTGTGGAGAATGTTTGAGTTAGCTGACAAGTGGTTCACCCACATGCTGGAGTCAGAAACTCCACGTTTTCCTGGTCTGTGATGCTGTAAACAGTTTACCGATCAGGAATCCCATCAGTACGTCTGCAGGGAAAATAGGTCGTGTGTGCGCAACGGGGAGGAAACAAAAACCCCAAGACAGTCCAAGGAAGAGGCGCCACACTTTTTTCACGTCAGTGTTTAAAAGTTTAACTTTAATCTGTCAGAAAAACAAAAACAACTCATTCCTTTCATTGGATTTATATGTCAAACTGAAATTCAATGTTTTTAAAGTAAACATCTCAAGTCAAACTCAGCTAAATAAGATGTATAAGGAATGTGCCTCGACTCTGTCTTCTATATTTTTAAATATCAAAGCAATTTAATTAAGACTTTATATTATTTCTCCTTCAACCTGAAAAATGTTACGACAACCTTGAAATAAATATGGTCTAGTACACCCCACGCCCCCCTTTAGTTGCAGCCCTGTTTGCTGCAGGTATGCTTCGATGTAAAATATCTTCAGCAAACGATATAATTGAAACATGTATCAGACTAGGTTAACAGTTCATCTGCATATTTGAATACTTCTGGAGGATTACTGGTTGGAGCAGCGACAAAGTTTGTTTTTCTTCATGTCACAGTTTGTTGGTGCTTTGATGAAAGACTCCCACCAGCTTTTTCCCAGTAAAGGTTTTAATTGTGGTGACAGGAACAGACGCTCACCTGAGACTGAACGCGAACAGTGCATCCTTCATTTGAACATCAATGTCACTGTTGCAGCCAGAGTCAGTACAAAGTGAAACCCTTTAATGGATTTTTAGTTTAAGTCTCATTATATTGGTTCAGTTATTAATTAGTTTATATCAACTAATTAAAGTCTCTCAGCAGCAACCAACCAGCCAACCAAACGTTACTTAGATGTAATGTTCTGTACTGACAGGAGATGGCGCTAAACACGTTTCTAAAACTTTAAATCGAGCTTCACAGACAGAGTTACATCTATGTAGGGCTCCATGACGTCAATTAGTCATTATACATGATGTGTTTCATGTCCATTTTAATCCAGTACTAGAAAACTGAGCCCAAATATCTACCTTCATGTGCGGTCTTCTTTATTTTATGTACGTTGCTTCATTTTCTAAATGGAAAAAAGATAAAGAGCCTAGAAACCCAAACCCCGTACAGGTCACTGGTCTATCAGGTCAGGACTGGTCAGGACTAACTCTACAAAAATATGTGTGTCACTTGTTTCGAAAATTAAACATCCCAACAACTAAGCAATGAAACAGTAACATGAACACTTTTTGTGAGTGTAATAAAAGTCACTGAAGTTCCTGAAATTTGGCCCAGTTCAGGAGAAATTGTAACAACACCCCACCCACCACCAAAAGTTACAACATACTTGTGGATTCTTCTGTCAGCTGTAATCCTCACAAATAAAGAGAACTGAGGTGAAACAAGCCAAAAATAAGGAATTGCTAAACCTGAACTTTCCACTCCTAACACACAAACTGCAAAGTCCAACGGAACCTTCCGTCCAGTCTCGGGCAGAAGATGAGTGGAACATCAGGAGGTCATCAGTGATGCCTTTTATATGAGACACATCTGTGTGGACCAGGCACGAGTACTGTGACACTTAAGTCCAATAGATACTGTACACGAGTGTGCTGCTGAAAAATGTCAGCAGCTAAGCTTATTCGCTTCAGACTCGACAGCAAGGATTAGAGAAAACCTGATAGGCTGGGACATGTCCGAGGCTGGGCCACTGACGATCAGCAGAACTTTATCTGCTGCACTCCCCATTTGTAACAAACTTTAACGGGTCACATCATTTCCTATTACGTTTCCAGTTTTTCCTTCTCTTTTGCTGTCGTGGAAGCGCTTCAGTGCGACAAAGAACAAACCCGAACCCTAAAGACAGAGCTGTTTGGTCCAGCTAAGGGAAGAGAGCGGTGCGGTGCCCAACGCGCTACGTGGATATTTGTGGTTTATCAACGAAGCAGATAAAAAGCCCGTTTAGTTAGTAAACAAAGAGGTGCTGGACTCACGCTGACACTGTGGCCAAATGGAAAACACGCCAAACCAGCACTCATCAAACTAATCACCCGCGGCGCTCCTTACCTGTGATAATCTCCCGCTTGCCTTCATCCAGGTGACTAGAAATCACATCCCCCATGATCAGTGAAGCGTCCCACGCGAACGCTGCGTCAGACCGACAACTACTTTTTAAGACAAACAATAAAGTCTACAGAGACGTGTCTCCTGCCACAGCAGCCCTGTCCGCTCATGAAATGACTGCAGCGTCAGTAATAACGGGTGGTACCAAACACTCAAGTCGAAGCTGTCGAAAGGAAGTTCAAACTGTGTAAGAACTGTGCGTTTTTCTCTCGGACAGACACACCCTCCTAAGTAGGAGGAGAACTTCTGCCGTGCAGCCACGTTACGTTAAAGTCTCGTTGGGAAACAGCAGACCCAGCGCTGTGGGACAGGGAAGGTTATTATAGAGCAGCTGGACAATGGAGACGAATCAAAGCAGTAAAAAAGAAGATACAATGGCAAGAGAGAGTTGGTCACACAGGTTGAAATAACACACTAAAGAAGATGAATAAGCACGAGACAGGGGATTATGAATTTTGTGGACAGGAGGAGACATTTGAACGTGTGATGTTAGAATGCGCTGAATACAGGCAAATACTCACATTACAGAAAAGCAGAGTTCAGTTAAGGGTGCACGAAATATTACAAAGGAACGCAGGGCGATATTTGGGTTTTTAAGAGCAAGTGGTGTTTATGTGAGAATATAGATGTATAAACTGACTGAGCCACACTCCAGTCCAGAAGGTGGCGGTAATGCACCTTGTTCGCCAACCGCAGCAAATAGCGACCACAGGGCTGTAGCCATGATACAAAGAAATCCTGAGGCCAACACAATCACCGTTATTATTTTGCTTTTCCTTCACCTCGATGGAAAACATCATAAGATCAAGAAAAGCTTTGAAGGATAATTGTTTCTGTAATTTTACACTGTTTTTGTTGATTAACAAACGTTTCCATCATTAATGTTTGATGGAAGATGGAAGAAGAAGGAAAACAGCAAAATGTTAAATTACAGTTTTATTACAAAATGTGTTTGAAGAATTCATGTTCCTGCCTCTAAAACTATATTAAAATTACTGTCGTTAAATATCATTTCGGCCCACAGGATCTTAGCTCGGCCACTTCACCACGCTCCTATTTTGACCTCAGGACTCCCATATTCCCATATCCCCTCCATATTCGCCACAGATGTTTCTGTATACTTTGCTGGACACTTGGTTATGGCGTTCCAGTTCCTGTGCTGCCATGATTAGTGCCTCTGTGCTGTCTTTCAGTCCAGCTTTGTCCAGCCTGGTAGGATTTCTGGATGTCAGCCACCTCCTCTATCTGCCGGTGGTACTGTGCAGGGGCCTGTCCTTCCATGATGGTTCCTCCTCTTCCTCCTCATTCCTGGGCTTCTGCTGCCTGAGGTATTCACTGAGCACGCGGTCGGTTGGGCTCATCTTCCTGATGTATTCGTGGATGTTCGTTGTCTCATCCTGGACTGTGGTGCTGACACTCACCCGGCCTCCTTCCTTCCACTTAGCGTACAGCCTCAGGGTGCAGGACTTGGGGTGACCCGTGGCACATTACGCACATGGACATAAATACGTATTTCTTACCTGTCGGTGCTGCGTACTACACAATAACATTCAATATTTAGTATTTACTGTTAGTTACAGTTATCTAGGTTATTGCTGTGGTGTCATGTTTATCGTGTTTATTGTGTTGCTCTCTTTTGCTTGTTTTTGTTTCCTTGTTTTTTGTGTCTTCTCTTACGGTCCTTCTTCCCCTCTGTTTTTCTTTCTCTCTCCCTTTCTTATCCCCCAGTCATGTCTGTCCCGTCTGTAACAACTTGAAATAAAAGAAATAATAATAATAACAAAGGTCAACCAAATGGCTGTGATGATCCACTTGGTAAAGTAAATCAGTTGGGCATCTTTCTTGGCCGTCAGACAATAATTCTGATGGCTAAAGATCCAAACGGGACAGGCAAAAAACCCAAATTGATAAAACGTGTAAAAGGAAGATGTCCAGCCATAAAACAGACAGGCTTTCCTTCTTACACAAGAAATATCTTGTAACTCACCAATCTCATGGACTCACGCTCAAAGAAACCACATAAACTTCCCCTGAGCAAACTAATGTGTACACTTGTGTCTGCATTCATATTTTGTTAAATGCGAACAAAATGATGGCAGAAGCGCTGCCAAGTGTCTGCACAGACAGAGAGGCTTCAGTTAAGAGGGAAGAAAAAGAATCAGTGTTCACGTTCAATACTTGAATTTTAAAAAACAAACAAAACATTTTCAGAAACATTTGTGGATGTTTGTTTGTTTGTTTGTTTGTTTGTGTTACTTGAACACTAAAGTGGCCCTCCAATGAGACACAGTGCCAGCAGCGGCCCACAGCTCATTTGACCCCTGATTTTAGACTATATTTTTCACTACACCAACAATTGATAAATATCTTCTATAAACACGTTTCGAAAAATCTGAGACAACATAACAGCGATACTGGAAAAGCTACATTACTGAAGGTGAGTGAAACATTTGGTTCAGGTTGGTTAGCACAGTAGAAAATTTACAAATAAAAACAAAACAAATAAACAATAAAGAGTGTCGTAAAATGATTTGTTTTTCAAAATAAAACATTTTACTCTCCTCTGTCCTTCTGGCTCACATTTGTGGATATTTGAACTCACAAGTTAAATGTATATTCTGCAGCATCTCTACTATTCCGTGTAACTCTGCACTGAGTACGCGTGAGAGCGTTGATTTGTCTTCTGCTGCCCTCGCGTGGACACCAAACTGAAAAGTCACCGTTTTCTAGAAGCGTCTAAGTGCGCCATCGTACCATAATCATCTCAGTAACTCTTGATGTACATTAGATATAAACTCACATTATATATACCTAATACTGATTTCTTATCCCCGATCCATTATTTCATTTTCATGTAAGGGCTCATAATCGAGGCGCGGACGAGGCTTTCCAGAGTTTCAAAATAAAAGTACTTAAATTTCAGTCTGTGGGAAATTGACAATTTAGGGACAAAACTTGACCTGATAATCTAGATTTTTTACATCCACAAGTAAAACACCTACTTTACATTTTTCATAATAATAATAATAATAATAATAATAATAATAATAATAATAATAATAATAATATATTGCCTGGTGTGCAATATAGCCCCTTTAAGTCAAAAGTGTCCAAACAGATTACACTTATGTTGCAGTTCAGTGCAGCGAACTTCAGCGTTTTCTGCTCATCACATCTTTTTGACCATTTTCATGTTAGTTTCACTTCTGTGAGCTATTTGGTGGAGCAAACTAGAGCTTACAGGATATCACATTTTCAGTTTACTTTATTCTACCTATTCCAAAATCTAGGATGAAGGAGGAGTTGTTGATATGTATTAGTTGACTTACTTTAGAACACTTGCTATTCAGTATTTTGTTAAAGGGAAACCAGGAAACCAGCTCGCCTGCATGATTTGACTTGAAACCTCAGGAGAGGTTCTCTCTCTCCCGTTTAGCCTGTTTTGCTATGCTCGCCTAACTGGGGGCTTTTATTTTGAATTTAACTGGAACGACTGGGTGTTACTTACTATGATGAGCTTTACAGTAGTAATAGCTCCACTCGGTTGTCTTTGGAGAGCAGGACGCGCACTGACGGGATCATCATGGCACCGCTGGGACTAAAAGCCATTGTTGGAGAAAGTAAAAAAATTTTTATTCTTATTTAATTCTTATTTTTATTCTGATTGTTGTTGCAACGTGGGGCCGAGCTGCTCCTTACTTTTTATTAATGAAATGTTGGTGCGCTAAGACGCACGGAGTCACTGGAGCAAAGCATCTGCCGCGAAGTGTCGCAGGCAGTGAATTAATTGCACTATTCGCTGGTGTTCTGCTAAATTCTGCCGTTATTGCCCGTTATTGTGTTGTCAGTGTAAAAGCATGGAGCCCAGGTCCGATGTAAATCCGGTCGCGCTAATCTTTGTGCGGATTAAATGCTTTGACATAATTCTCTGGGGAAGACCAGAGGTGGAGGAGGACAGATCCGACTCTGGCTGCCTCAATAACCGAAGAAGCCTTAGTTTATACTGCCTTTACTATCCCAGACCTGTTTCTTCCCCTCGTGCATTGATTCCACGGTAGTTGTGAGCACAGTTTGGTTATTCCAAACTGTGCTCACTGATTTTCGATTTGTGTTAGTTGCGCTTAATAAATCGCACCAGCGCATTTTTAGACTTCCAAAAACAGCACGCACCCAAACGGCTAAAGGGAGGTTCAGTGAACTTGGCAGTGATGCGCCTTCACTAACTCATTGAGTAACCATATTAATAAAACTAGTTACAACCTATCAAGCCTTTGGATAGTGACTGTGCAAGTTATTGAAATACTGTCACAATTTAAATACATGTTTGCAGTGACATGGCCGTACACGGACAGGAAAGGTCTGATATTTACTCTAGACCAGTATAACAGCTCTATGCAGATCATATTTCCATTTAAAGGCAGAGATTTAGGCTATTTAAAGGATGTTGAAGAAATTCATCAAAGAAAATCAAAAATCAGACAGTTGCTGTCAAACAGGCGTATTGTTTAGATTGTGATGGAAATGAGACAGCTATGCTGGAAAACAACCGAATATCAAGTGTTATTTAAAAACAAAATCACAAGGTAACAATCACTCAGAAAAATACTAATGCAATACTGTAAAGTACTTAAATCCTAAGAAAAGTCGTTGGATGAAAGCACAGGTGTAGGCGTCACGATATTTACGACACAAAGACTCGTCCCCTGCTCTCATGAGCATCCCCTGAAAATCGTCTATGTCGAGTTTCATTGGGTGCAAATTTCATGTTTTAAACCTTGAAATCTATGCAGAGAATTAGACAGCTGTAAGCATGTAACGCTCACAGCTGCCTTGGTTGAGGATCCTCAGAGAAAATAATGGTAACATTGAGCTGCACACATGCTTCAACAGAAGAAAACAAAGTATTCACATTACAGTGCATTCATGCTCTCATCTGAGAATGCGTCGTGATCACAGAGACTGTCTGCGAGTCCAGAAACTTCCAGGTGAATCTGAGCAGTGAAGGGTCACATCAGAATGAATGATAGTGAGGCTGTGATGTTAGAGGGAGTGCCCAACAGGTTATCTGTCTGCAGACCAAAGTCATGACCATAGATGGATTTAGTTTATGTTGCCCAAACATCAAAACGCTGTCTCTCATGAACACACTGTACAACATGATGACAGTGTTTGTCAGGAAAGAGGAGGTTAAAATCCAGCGAATCCGTGAATCCGTGTGGATAGGAGAGCTAGAACTGAAGCAACAGCCGACTGTGCCTGCTGCCCGTCAGGCGGTGCTCCGTTCTTCCACAGGCACTCACACCTAATCCAGCGGACTAATTGGATAAACAGGACTATTCACTGACTTCACTGTAGTGTGTCTCTGACAATAGCTTTCCTCGTCATGTAGCTTGGTCTACCTGACTCATTGAGGTGTTGTGTAACAAATAATGTGCCTAAATCGATCATTTACAGTTATTGTAAATTCCTGCATGAGATGGCTGGCCTCACTGTGTGACTGTCATGTCACTGCAATGTGCTTATGTCAGCTGAACAGCAGCTCTTCAAGCTTAACGATACCTTTTGGAGGAACATGATATGTAGACTTATTTTGGAGAGCAAGTGTTTGTGTTTATCAGTGTGTGTGTGTGTGCGCACACTGATGCAGCCATGTATGCCGCTTTCCTGTGATGTCACGTCCGCTGACACAGAAATAGCTGTGGGCAGTAGGGAGTAGTGGATGGGGTAAGAGGATTGGGAGCAGATTAGAGGCAACAATTGCAGTGGGCCTGTCTCTCAGTCTCTCCGTGCTCATTCTCACATCCTGGACATGTGCTTAAATCCCCAATAAGGGAAACCTTGACACATTTTAACAGAATATTGGGAAATACTAGATTTGCTCTGCTTAAAAAACAATAACAGAAAAAAGAATGAACTAATATCTTTTAGAAATGTCTCTTTGTGTTACTCTGTCTCTGTGAAAACAGTATTTTTTCCCTTCCTAGTTCTCTAGTGTTATGTGTACATAAAAGACCTGTAGAGGACTTGATGCCCGATGTAGCTTTTCTGAAGCAATAATAACAGTTTTTGTTTCATCTTAGTTTAACTTCAGGACCTTTGCACACATCTGTTAGACAGTGTATAGAGTGGGAAAGGTTTGCTCAATCAGTGGCTCTCACTGGAATGCAGAGCTGCCATCAGCACAGCAGTCTTATTAAATGCCATATGCCAGTATAATATGACCTAGTGGTAGCATATACAGTGTAGACCTTTGGGGGACTCTGCTGCAGAATATGGAAAAACATACAAAATATGATTTAAACGACTGCAGAGCTGTCGTAGATCTACCAACCCAGTGCTACAGCCTCACTATGAAACTGTAATGATCCACTATATTAAATGCTACACTTGGGTCACGTAGTACAAGAACAGAACGTTCATCAGTATTGCTGCAACACAGTGAGCTATGATATCACCCTAACAAGCACAGTCTCAGGACTGTCCAAACCCTGACTGAGATGTTGTTCTGACTGCATGTTTCAGAAGGCTGAAGACAGTTATAATAGATAAGATAAGATAAGATAAGATAAGATAAGATAAGATAAGATAAGATAAGATAAGCTTTCTTAGTCCCACACGTGGGAAATTTGTTTTGTCACAGCAGGAAGTGGACAGTGCAAAAGTTATATAGCAAAAATTAGAATACAATACGAATAACAGACTGTACACAACTGTACAGAAGTGAATAGAATAAAATAAAATACAATATACAGTAGAATAAAATAGAATAAAATATACAATAGGATAAAAATAGAATACAAATTCTATATACAACTGAGTAAAAATACAACTGAGGTCACTTTTATAGCATGTGGACTGTAATCGTAGCAGTCAAGGATGAAAACATCACAGAGAAGTTGTGGGAAAATATTATCAATAAAACAACCAAGAGTTAGAATTTTTTATTTGATTTGATTCATTTTATTCTTTAAAAAAGTTTAGAAACTTTAATCTTAACGTGATCATCAAAGCTTTCATCTCTTGGTGACGTATGTGATGATGATTCATCTTCATCCATCCAGTTCCAGTCTGCAGGATTGTCTTTTAAGAATGTGAATGTCTTTATTGATCCAGGCCACCAACAAGCACCACATTTCTTCTTTACCTTAAAAGCTGCAGGAAGCTAGAGTGGACATGCAAAGAAGGTTAAAATGATTCTCTAGTCTTTCCTGTCTGAGATAGAAGGAACATTTCTGAAAATGTTTCTCATTGAGAAAGCTCCTGCTTGTTTACTTGGAAACATGATATCAAAGAAAATACCTAATTGTTCTGATACAAATATGAACTCATTAACACTGAAGAATGTCCACAGTTATGTGTAAGCCCAGTAACATGCTTTATAAAATCATGTTAATTTATTATACCGAGGTGTCAACATTACGATCAAAATCCCAGCTGCTCAATCACGTTGGCAGCTGCTAAAATAAAACCAATTCTGTCACAGCAGCACTTTGAGACAGTGATCCAGGCCTTTGTTAGCACTCAGCTGGACTGCTGTACTTTATAAAGGGGTCAGTGCTTCATAGGTTACTCGTCTACAGAGGAGGCAAAATGCTGCAGCTCGTCTTGTAACTGGAACTCGAAAGTTTGAGCACATTTCTCCTATTTCAGCTCCACGTCACTGGCTGCCCATTCCTTTTAGGATTCATTTTAAAATTCTTTTATTTGCTTTTAAAGCTCTCCATGGCCTCGCCCCATGTTATCTCTCTGAGCTGCTACACCCGCTCTGTCAGGTCAGCTGATCAGCTGCTCCTGCATGTACCCAGGACTGGGCGTAAACTTAGAGGAGATCCTGCTTTTGCTGTAGCAGCTGCCAAACTGTGGAACGAGCTGCCTTTAGAGATCAGACGGCTTCTTCTCTGCCTGTTTTTAAATCACTCCGGAAAACCCAGCTCTTCACCCTGACCTTTGACACCACGTGAGATGTTGGTGTTTAGTTTAGTTTAGTTGATGCTATGTTGGTCTGTTTTAATTTTAATTCATTATGTGTTTTATGTATTTATTTATTTTTTATTTTATTCTATTGTCTTATTTACTGTACCACACTTTCATGCTGTGCTGGCTATTTTAAAGCTCTTCATAAATAAAGCACTTTATAAAGTGCTTGGATTACTTAAAAGAAACAAAGAAGGTAAGAAAACAACAAACAGATGGTGTCAGTAAGAGCGGTCTCTCTGCTGTGACACCAGCAATGCTTTTGTTTTGCCAACATGCAGAGATAGATTATTGTCCTTGCACCAAAGTGCCAGCTGTTGCACCTCCTCTCTGTAAGCAGCAGCATCATCATCGTCCCAGCGCTCTGGTGTCATCTGCAAACTTGATAATGTAGTTTTTATTGGAGCTGGAGGTGCATTTGTGGGTCAGCAGCGTGAAGAGTAGCGGTCTCAGCACACGTGCCTGCAGGGTGGGAGGGGGCCGTGCTCAGTGTGATGGTGTTGGATTCCAACCTGTGCTCTCTGGGGTCTATCAGTGAGGTCCAGGATCCAGCTGCAGTGGAGCAGGGCAGGCTTGCTGATCAGCTGCTGGTGAATGATGGTGTTGAATGCTGAGCTGAAATCAGTGAACAGCATTCTTACGTGGGCGTGAGATAACGCCCACGAAATAAAGCGATATTTCATTTTCTTATCGTTGCCTAACATTGTACCGGTATTACCGTGAACGGTATGATATGGCCCAGTCACAATGGAATTGTAGGTTGGAAATTTTCAATTTCAGTTCAGCTGTTTGTTTTTTTTATTTAGCAACAACAGCCGAACACTTAATAAACTGGATGAGGCAGCAGATTTTCTAGGTTTGCACAAACTAGTCTGTTAGTTATTAAGACTGGAATATCAAAAATGGGCAACTGGCAGATTTATGACCTGATCTGTGAAAATGCTCTAACTCTTGATTGAACTGTACAATATACATGTTTTGTTTACAGAGATAATGAACAACGTCATCAAGAAGGCAAGAGAAAAAGGAAAATGGAAGGTAACTGTCATTAACATCATTATTCATACGAAGTTGGATATCTGTGATTCAAAGATAAACAAAGACATTCATTAAGTATCAGATATAGTAGTTTCCTTTGCTATGTGTGATTTTATTATAGGTTTTGGTGGTGGACAAGCTGAGCATGAGGATGGTGTCCTCCTGCTGTAAGATGACAGACATCATGTCTGAGGGAATCACTAGTAAGTACTACCAACCCAGCCACACCCAGCTCACTTGTATGGAAGCCCGTTTCCGCCACTAAAAAAAAAAAAAGGATCCATAACTCAAATTTCGAGTTATTTTCTCAAAAGTTCGAGTTATTTTCTCAAAATTTCGAGTTATTTTCTCAAAATT